TCATCATTCTCAAACTTTCTGAAGAAATTGTCAGAAGGCATCCTCCCCATTAACAAAATACAGCTATGCTATAACTACCAATAATTATCATACTCCACCAAAGGGAAAGGATCAGAACAAGAACAGTCAGTCTGTGTGTCTCTTTTTCTACACAGCATGTGGTTTTCAGACATTTCAACCCTGTGGCTACTCACTGTACAAAAGCAAGATGGCTGCCTACACTCTTTGAGCTTCTCTGCTGCTATTAAATGGAGCACTGTCTGGACAAATGCAGAGGAAGAGCACCAAGAAAAGAACTAAAGCATAAAAACACAACAAAGCAAAATTAGCAATTTTAGAACTCACATATGGAATATGGGGAAAAGTCAGAAATTAGTTACATCCCTCATTAGGTTTTGCCTACTGGCAAAAATTCCCATTGGCATTACCACTTAGTTTCATTAGGAGGAACTCTATTGGAAAAAAAGGATTAGATTCTTTAACAATGCTTAGCATCTTGTTAAATATAACATGCTGAGCAGATTTGGTTGAAAAGTCCACGGTTACATTAGCTTATTATTATTTAATGATTGAACTATGCAAAAATCAGCTATAGCCTAAAGATTTGTCAACCGAAATTTAGTTGTAAACTCTTTCTTTAAAAAATTCTAAAATTCCTACACAAATAACAGCCACCATTAATTTTCACCAGTGACTGAACATAGGACCACCTGCTCCTACGGTTATAAGCCCAAAGTAGGAGCCATAGAAAGGGAAAATTGAGAACTGCTTCCTGGAATCTAGGATGTATGAGGCTCCTTGCCAAAGGAAGTGATCTCTTGTGAACAAGACACTCAGAAGAAGTAACCCCTCAATCACTCTACTCTTGTTGATAAAATTCTGTAGAGATGACAGTTTCCATTGCATTTTTTCTAAATCTGCTTTATTTGCAGTGATGGTAAACTGCAAATATTCAGCAGTTACGTGACACTCAGAATGGACGGCTACACACTGTGCTCCCCTGGCCTTCAGACAGCACTTTTTTCCATCAATCAGCTTGGACTTTCCCCACCTCTCTACAGCAGCACTCCCTTTCTCTCCTATTGCAACACTGCCTAATAGGATGAAATCAGCAAAGTAGCAGTGATGTCTGAAAATCAATTATTTGCCATGGTTGCTGCTTATAATTTCCAAATGTAGTTCTACAAAAGATAATTAGAGCAATGTCCTTGAAGATCCTCCATTTTGTCTAATTAAGGTACTTGCTAGAGCTTCCAGTTGTATTGCTTATCTTTGATAAATATCCTTCCTAACCACAACACTTCTTTAAGAGCAACATCTTCTAAATGGGGGCTTAAGTCCAAAACAGTAAACAATCAGTAGAAACTAGGTGGTGACCAGGTGTCCCTAGAAAACCTGTGTCCATACACGAACAAAGTGAGGAGGGGAGCACTTCCCAGACGACCACCAATGACGCTGCGCAAGCACAGAAGATTCAAATATGCGTGTATAACCTTGTAACTGCAGTGATCTCCTGAATATATGACAGATAGGTGTGCCTTATGTATTACATAGGTGTGTATGGATACTGCGATGACTCGGGTGCACTTGATTTGTGGAGATTACTTGTCTTACGCCCTGTGCAGAAGTAAAGCAGTGACTTCTCTTTTCCATGTGTTTTGGGAGATTTTGAAATTAACAACAGCAGGATTTCAATTTATTTATGGTGAAAAAAACACCTTAATCATTAAGAAACAATCTGTGTTGTTTTTATTTCTTAGTATTTTTCTGACACGGTTGTAACCTCTCTTGCTAATAGGGGCCTATGGTATCACTATATAGGTCATTTTCATGTTTTCATGTAGCATTTCATTGATGCTGAAGTGTGTGTAGCTCTGGAAGACATGTTTAGTACGTGCTACACTTCCGAGTTCGTGTTGTTTCTGGCATTGCTATGATGTTTTCCTCACCAACTCTAGGTTTAAACAAGCACTAATGGAAATGCAGACCCACAGTAATCTTAAAGGCTTCCCATGGCAGCTCAGCACATGGCCTCCATAGGTGCAAAGGGACCCACCTGTACAGAGGTACAGGGGTGCCAGGCACCAGGCAGCACCAGCCTCTGAGCAGAGCTCTGTCTGCATGCAAACAAACCTCAGGCTGTGGCCTGAGCTACCATTCTCTCTGTTTATGTTATATGGTCAGGCAGTTAAAGCTTTTTCCTCATCATAACTAAAACTCAGGGCTCATTCCAAATGGCAAAGTGGAAATTATCAGCTGGCTTTAGGTTTCAACTCTATGCAAATTGTGCTATACTTACAATACTAAACCAGTGCAGTCCCAGACAGAAGACATCTGCCTGATCACAGAAGAAATTGGCAAGTGGTTGTGCTTTACTTCCTCTTTTTTTTTTCTTTTTTTTTTTTTGTAATTTAAATTTCAGTGAGGGAGTTCACATAAACTCACTGCTAAATAAGCAATTTTCATCTTCCAGCTGTTTGTTAGATGTGCAAATGCAAGATCACATACACAAGGCCAATGCTTTCAAATTTAAATGTCACAAATTAAGCATATAGCTATGTAGCAAATCACACAGTAATTCAGTAGTTACTGAAATTTTATCCTGAAGTGCAGTGTAACTTTTTTTTCTCTTCATAGAATTTCGTAGGATTATAGAATCCTTTTCTAAGAAGAACAGTAGCTTTTATTTCTAAAATATTTTATTTTTCACATAATTTTTATTTTTCACAAGTGTACATAAAAGTTAAAAGCAAGTGTACCCTAAAAGATTACATGTTAAAAGGCAAGTGGGCCCCAGATTTGACTTCCTTTAGTTTTGTAATTATTTAAAAACTGGTAATTCAATTTCTGATGTATATAATCAGCCAACACAAATATAGATAACACAGCTGAGGGACTTGTGGTGGAGACTACTTTGCACAGTGCTTAAGAAGACTATAAAAAAAATATGAAAAGGTGCAATGAAAAATACTGTCAAATACTACAGAGGAGTTCATTTACAGTGCATTTACAAATGTTAAGAGTTATGGATGTAGTTTATGCTTGCATAATCATGAACAAAGAAGCACTTATGAATGTGTGTGTGCTTCCAACCAGAGGATGTTCTTCTGACACTGGATGGGATCAGTACAAAGGACACAGACACTTAGTTAAAGAAGTGAGTTTATCTTTACTTGCATTTAAAGCAATAAAATAAGTGAAATGATATACCAAGAATAAAAGAAAAGGCAATGCACCAAACCATTACTACATAAGATTAACTACAGTGATTAAGAAACATGCATCACCAATTGCCCCAATACTTTACCATCATCCAGGTCTGCAGTCACTATGGAGCCCCAGCTGCAGCAAGGATTTGTAGAACCTTTCCTGGCAAGTGGGAGGTCCTAACGCAGTGTGTTCATTTGTATGTGAGGTCTCCAAAGTCACTGTAGGGGGGTCCAGCTTTTATGTAATTGAATAAACAAGGTTACATAATTTCAAGTGCAGAAACATCTGATTCCATCCAAAGCCTGGCTTTAGGGCTCTAGAAGGAACCAAGGGAGTTTTTCTATCTATTTGGGCTTTAACCACATATTTCTCAACAAGGTCAGATGTCTGGTGTCATGGCCTTGCACAATGCCCCTAAATAAAGAAAGATACACTACTGGTTACTGTTACACAACAAGCATTAAACAGATCTTTATAGATTGGCATTAATATATATATATATGTTCATGTTAAAACAGCAAAATAGATAAATATTGCATTGCATGTGCAGTATAGTTTGGTTGCCAGGTTCATCTAGAGGTCAACTACATTTCAAGGCCTATTGTTCAGGCGTTACTACCTCTATCAGTCCTTTGACCTAAAGATAAACCACAACCTTCATAATGTATCTCCTTTTAAATATAATCTCAGACAAAGCAAATATAGGCAAATTAGACAAAAAGGCCTCTCTTTTTGTCTCAGTTAACTTCTGCTCATTAGTCATGGCTATGATTTGCATTCCTTTTAAAACATGTATAATTAGTTGCATAAAACAGGGAATTAAACATGGAACAAAAATTAAAACAGTGCCTGCACAAAAAAGAAAGAAAAGTGCATGCTTAGTCCATGGTCCCCCTGTCAGCCATGAAAACATATCCCATTCCCAACCCTTCCACATCTGGATAGGTACATGTGCTAGCTTTCTCATTTATTTTATTATTTGTTTTACCACTTTTCCATTTTCATAAATTTGTAAGTAACAATTGGATTCATTTAATGTTCTGCAAATTCCCCCTTCTTCTGCCAACATGTAACAAAAAACCACATGATGTTGAAAAATTGCATTCCTCATTTGAATGAATTGGTCTGCCAGAAGGTTAAGAACCACGGACATTTGATTAGTTATTATTTCCAAGACAGTGGAGGACCTCCCAGCTGACAGGAAAGGTTCTACAAATCTTCAGTGCAATTGGGGCTCCGCAGCAACTGCAGATCTGGATGATGGTAAAGTATTAGGGCAATTGGTGATGTATCTTTATTAATCACTACAGTTAATCTTATGTAGTAATGGTTAAGTGCACTGCCTTCTTTTGTTTTATTCTTCGTGTATCATTTCACTTACTATTTAATTACTCTAATTGCAAGTAAAGATAAACTCACTACTTTAACTTGGTGTCTGTGTCCTTCCTGTTGACTCTGTCCGTTGGCAAAACAAACGCATAGACTATTGAATTGTTTGTAATTTCTTAGCATATGCCAAAACAAAGCTGCCATCATTACCCATGCTTACTTGTGCAGGCTAGCATACATTGTAGCCTAGAGTTTGTTAGCAGTGTACCCTTACCTTTCATGGTGGTGAAGATGCAATTCTGTAAACTGATTAAACAGAGCACCACAGCAGTTGGAATCATTTGATTAAAAACAAAAAAAAACAAAAAAAAACCAAAAAAACAAAAACAAAAACAAAAAAACAGTATATCTGCACCTGAAGAATTTTTATAATTAATTAATTAATTAATTGGATTGTTAATTTTGAAGGATTTTAGAATTCAACTGTAAAACTGACACATCCACAAAATGATTGCAGTTCACTAAAATATTAATAAAACTTCTTTGTTCTAAATGTAATGAGTGAAGATCAAATAATGTATATTTTTACAAACATTGAAAGCAATTCTGATACCACTGCAAGTTGACTTCACATTTGGAAAAGCTGTGATCCCCGCTCCTTTTATTTACCTAAGTACAGTTGCCTGCAGCTACATTCCCCTCTATTCTCTATAATCATCACTTTTCCTAAAACCCAGTGAAAGAAAGCTTTCATTTATTTTAAAATAAAACTCTGTTTTGGTTCTCTTTTGACAGATCTGCAGCATTTTCACATGCCTTCTCATACTCAGTCTTCTGCTTGATCTTGGTTCATAGTGAGTTAAATAAATGCACAGTCATAATAACAAGAATCTGAAAGCTGTTAACCAGTTCAGCTTCCTTTCAGTCCAGCCAATGTCACAGTAACACTGTGCAGCAGTATCTGAAGCTTTCTTGTTTGTTTTTCAATGCTGGCATGACTTTATTTTTTGAGGTGGAAGAGCTAGAGTTTAACATCTGGGATCAGTCACCTAACTCAGTAAACTCAACAGTTGTTAAGTCTTTGCAGACCTTTGTTTTGCAGACCATAAACCACAAAGCTGAAGCACTGTGCAAACAACAGAACAAAAAAAGGCTGATAAATTCAAAATAGTGTTATCAGGATGTCTTCAGACAGCTATTTTAATAAAAAGTAGTAGAAGATTGAAACTCATTTGTAGTCCAAGAATAATGATAGTTTTTATGACTTTTCTATTTTAGCTGTTTGAATGGCCAGCATGTTTTTCTTTTCTACAGAAAAAGCATAATTACGATGATGATTGTATGAACTAAAATTAAAACAATTCCAGCAAACAAATTAAAACAAATTCCAATTCTGGCAAAAGTTTCCAGCACAGTTGGGCAAGAAAGTTCTTTTTTGATTATGTCTTCTGGTCTTTCTCGTATGCCTACCTTCTCTTAGTAACAGACAAATAGCTTTAGGCTTTGTAATAACACAGGCACAAGTGATGATGCAGTAGTGTTTCACTGAGTAAGCGGTGAATAGTGCAAAGGACAGCACAGCACACATCAAGACACTGGTTAAGTACCATCAAAGGCAGAGTTCTCTTCCCATTTGCACCCTGTACCCCAAAGATGATCTAAACTACAAACTGTGGAGTTCTCATTCAAGTGCTTGTACTGTGTAACAGATGGCACCAGTCACAGACATGGAACAGCAGAGTAGTTCACGGCACAAGAGAAAATATTGAATATCTTTCTTCATTTTAGAGTGTTTTCAGATTATTTTTTTGCATTAGCAACATACCTGAAATAATAAAAATGAAATCACCTGTAAGAAGGGATGGTTTTACTACATTTTCTATATGCAGTAATACAGAGTATTTTCCTTCTGATGAATTACTGAGCGCACTCATGATTTGTAAAGCCAGCTCCCAGGTCCTATAAAAGAAAATAAAACAATAATATCATACTTTGGACAGTGAGCTTGATGCTATTTCTCTCCCTAACCACAAGCACAGTTAACATCTACTCACAGTAAGAGCACTTTGGCTACACACGTTTGCTATCTGATTTTACTCTAATCTTTAAATTTGCTGTATTGGTTCTGTATGGTTAGAAGAGAATCGTAGCAGAGCCTGTAAAGTATATTCTCCTTCCATTCCCCCATTTTATTTCCCACCTTTTACTACTGAACACAATATCATATAGTATGGAACATCTTTTTTGGTCAGCTGGGATCCAATTGTCAACATTGTTTTGGTCACAAATCCAAAGCATAGCACCTTACAAACTCCTATGACAAAAATTACATCTATCCCAGTCAAAACCAGTACTGCAGTGAAATAAGCCTGCAATACAATAACCCAAATAGCTAAAATATTTTGGACCCCAAAACCACAACTTTAGAATCTTTCACAAGTATTACATTTACTAGATAACTAAGGTATATTCATTATATTATTTATCTAGCACTGAGTATGACATAAGCTACTCTGAATGTTTGCTTGCTTTAAAACATCCAAGTAGTTGACAGTTCTGAATAATGTTTATGATTTTTCATTTTATTTTATTTTTGTCAGCAGGGTATGATCTTTCATTTAAAGACAAATTGCCTTTGCCAGTTTTGCAAACTGGACACTCCTTTTTCTTATCAATGCAAAAAAAAACCACATGCGAAAAATACAAATGTTATGTGCAGTAAGTCTTCAAAACTATTCTCCTGCAAGCATCTGTTCTCTGTTAATGATTAGCTGTCTTGGGGTCTTGTATTCCTGGTATTTTCAGTGCCAGTCCCAGTGTTTTCTTATTTTTATTTAAATGCAGGTGCTGAAGTGTTTTAACTTACAAGATGGATTTCTTTGAGATAATCTGCAGTTAATTTTGTGCTTGATTTTCAGACATCTTCAGTGGATGCTCCTTGTATTTACTCATGACTGAAGAAGACTGAATTTAATACTTGAGAATATAACCAAAAGAAGTATTTCAGAAGCATCACTTTAAATGATCTTCATTTACAGTGTCAGCTTTTCCTATGAGAATATCAGTTAAAGTAGAACTTAGGTACACAAATATAGTTTAAGCACTACCAAAGCAGTAAGATAACCTGAGTGCCTGTTTTTAGAAGTCTGACAATAACTGTGACACATGCTTTCATTTTGCCCATAGGTTTTTGCTGCTGAAGTGTTAGCCATAGGATACCACAAACATGTTTCCTGGCTAACACAGCTGCTTCTGAGAACACAGTGGCCAATTTTTATTACATCTAAAGACAGACTGTTGCCCTTCGTAAGGTAACAGTAAACTGTAGACAAAGGTACTATGTATAATGTCTGAATTGATAAAATTGTGTAGCAAGATTTTACATAAGTAGTCAGTAGCAGAATACTTTTGTATATGTATGGTACATATTGGGATGGGGCATAGTCAGCATCTCCTTACTGAATCAGCATGGTGCGAGGTGACATGTAATCTCTGTAATACATGTGATCTTTGAGAATGTGGAGATAATATAAACATGCTTTGAAATGTTCTACATATGCTGCAAAAAGTTTGGGTAAAAACACATGGAACAGGAAATTTATTTTTATAAAAAATAAATTGGGACACACATTGCAGGTGTACTTGCTTTTTTGCACTGAGGGAAACCAATAAATATATATGTATATATGCGTATACAGCGTATTCCATCTTCCCTTTATTGCATAAAGGAATGATCTTTTTTAAAGTATAGACTAAATATGCAGAAAACTTCTATTGCTCTTGCTAGAATAGGTAGAATAGGCTGTAAAATTAAACCACTGTTTCCTGTGGTTATCAGGGGCACTAGAAAGTCAACTTTATATGCATAAATAACTATATATATGCTTTGCTTAGTCATTTGTTCATCAGTTGGTTCTTTCCTATGTATAGGCAAAACGAAACAGTAGTTTAAGTTTCTTATCTGCAGTTTAGATCTATACGCTCATTTAGATGAGAAAGCAGGCATGTTGTAAAATTTCAGTTTGTGAATTTTCACAGCTCTTGTAATGGAACCGTAGGGCCTATTCATGTCAGCCTCTTCCTCCAACACGCTCAAGCACAGCTTCATGCCCACTGCAAGCAGCAGCTGTACACAGTCTTCTCTGACTATTATAATACTATCTGGCTCTTAATGGGAACTTCAGTTCTGTGCTTAGGTATAAGGTGGCTACTAGGAGGTAGAATACAAAAACAGAAGGATAATTAAGAAGAAATTATCAGAGTCATCCCCAAGGACTGAGGGGTGCTGGTTGACAGAAGGCTTAACACAAGTCAGTGTGTCCTGGCAGCCAAGAGGGCAAATCACATTTTGGGGAGCACTGAGCACAATACATGCAGCTGGTCAAAGTTTTAGGCCACCTTTAAGTTGTCCTCATTCAGTAGACTATTCAACTCACAGAATAACCAAGAGCAATATTAGGTTCATCCCAGCAGACACCAGGAGATAGATTACTCTAATTTAGCAGTTTCTCTAACTAACACTTCAGGGGTTTCACCATAACAATTCCATTATAACTTGTAATATCTAGACTGCATATCACCCAATGCCATAATTATGTTTTTCTAAGAAATCCCAGGAAATTATTCTAGGAAATTTTCTGGTTTGCTGGGAAATTTTCTGTAGCCCTTTGCCATAAATGAAGCATGTTCTGGTTACTGTATTTTCTATGGAACCTAGCATAGAATAAAAGCCTTGAGATTTTCTAATCTTTCAACACCTTAAAATCGTCAAGACAGAATTAGATAGAAAGTGAAACCTGTTCCTGCATGAGCATTGTTCACTATACATGAAGTTAACTTCACAAGCATCTCAGATTTCATTTGGAGTTTTTAATCTGACTATCAAAAGAAGTAAACCTCTACAATTTTGGGACACGTATATGTACACATATATGCTGATGCATATATTTGTATATTCCAATACAAATACACTTATAAATATGTGTACGTCCATACTTCCTGCTAAAGCAATGGCCTGTCCTCCACTGATGCAAAAGGGGTTATTGATGGTTGCAATGGGACAAGACTGGGTTGAGATGGAATTTTAGGAATTAACACTGAGTTTTATGTCCCAGTTTAACTTGGACTTACAAGAAAGAATGCTCCTAACGGTAAAATTTAATGATAGGTCACATTCAAAAGTATCTTGGTTTTGAACAAATAATCTATTCCAAAATTTATGAATATCATTGGGAGAAGTTTCACAATTAAAAAAAGAGTATAGGAACAAAGTGAATTTAAATTATGAGAATGAAAAACTTCTGAAATTGGTAATAGGAAGATTTGATAATTAGTAACCTACTAGGGCAATATTTAAAGACAAGTATGTAATCAAGTCTTGGGGAGCAAATTCATTCAAGAATTTAAAAAGTCATTTTCATCCCACACCATTAAAATGTTGAAGTACATTTTTCATAGTTTTTCTCACTACTAGAAGAATAAACGGATATGGTCCTATTCTTTTGAAGTTGTAGGTTAATGGCTATTTTTGTTCTGGCAGTGACACACAATCTATAGTCTTAAATTCATCTCTGTATTTGTAAGATTTTCATGTAGAGGCTTTTATTTGGAATATATGACTTAATTTTGTGTTGCTTTTTTTTTTTCTTTTTTTTAAGAGATAATATCTATTTCCACAGTACAATCATTCTGATCTCATAATTACAGAAATATTATATAATTTGATTGCACACTGAGAAAAATTATCCTACCTTGTATTTTGCCTCTGCTGAAATGGGTAGTTCATACTTATGTGCCTGTCTTTCTGTGAATATACTGCTTACTGTAAGAGAAAGAGCAAAGGAAATTAAAGAGAAGCTTTAGAAAAAATTAAAGAGAAGCTAAAGAAGTTACTTAAAAGAAAAACAAAATACCTAGCATATCTTTACATATTTAAAATGCAGGCCCTCCTCTAGGCCTTTACAATGTCTTTACATAACCTAGATTAAATCAGAGCTATAATAGCAATAAGTAGATCCAAACACTTTTATTAATCTGATAACCTCATAGCTATCATAGGGTTGCTGTACTTGTTTGACATTTCATAGAAAAAGTAACAAAACTCAGATGCTCTTACTTTAAATGTAATGCTCTTGATTATTGTGTTAATGAGAATCCCTGCTAGTAGCTAGGGCATATTACATACAATTGTGCTGCCCTGATACACTTTCACTGAAAAGAGAACACACAAATTCACTGTCCAATTTTGTATCAATATTTGAGAAGGAAACTATTGGTATCTCAATACTCTTTGGGTTCCCAATATGTTTTCTTGGATTCCTGCCTGGATATTTTATAAAAACCCTTATTCTACCAGGTAGAATACAAAAAAAAAAGTACTTTTTTTCTGTCAGTATTTTTTACGGCATGAATATTTATCTGTCCCTAGGTTAACCAGCTCAAAGGCAAATCTTCAAAACTTTTTCAAAATTTTCTAAGAAAAGCACAAAAATGTTTAGAAATAAATCATCTTTCATAACACAATATTAAGTAATATAAGAAAGAATAGGAAAAGAATACTCAGTGGGAAAGAGGTTGAGTGATTCTTACAAAGTCACAGCATTCAGTAAGGTATGCACAGATAAGCAAGATGAAAGATGTGACTGAGAAAGCACACCTCTGGAATCAGCACTATCCATTCTTATTAGTTAGCTCTTTGCATCATATCTAAGATTGGATCTTTGCTATTTTTACGGAGTAATACAGCTTTCAGCTTTTTTCCAGGGAAGAACACCTTCTAAATGATGTAGAAATAAAGACATACAAATAACAAGAAAATTGAAGAATTAACTCACCTTTAATGAAAAATTCCTCCCTGGGATTCTCATCATCATTTTCCAGAATTTCAAATGCACACAGTGAATTTTGAACATGGAAGAAAAATAAAAATGGCCTGGAAAATGTATGTGAATCAACCTTAAATTCTCTGTATATTCTTGACAAATTTTGTGTCAAGTCATAGATTGACAACGAAGTAGATGTCTATGAAAGTCCTGAAAAGTTAGCTGCCTTGCTTTGTTCATGTTCACTATCAGTGGCAACTGTGCACTCAGTGTAGAAGACAGCATCCAATGAACAGGGATATCTGGCCCAGAACATTTTGTGTACAGCACAAGGGCACTGTGTAAGACATGCATGCCATCTTCTTCGACTTGCCCTAGAAAGCTCCTCCTTTGCACTAGCCACCAGAAATTTGCAAACAAAATTTCCTTTTGCTGGTTCCTCTAACTAAGCATATCTTGTGGCTATCTGTATGCACAACATAAACGGAATCTGACTTACACTGCTACAACACAATGCACGTTGCTGATATTTCTCACACTATGCTTGTGGCCTAGAAGGGGCTGCATCATGCTTTCAGCCAGACACCAGAGCACTGGTCAGGATTGGGTACTCTTTGATATTATAAGAAATTAGGGTAATAAAATTATTTTGATTGATGGAACGGATTTCCAGTTCTAAACGTATCTCAGAAACAAGTTTATTACAACTTTAAAGAAAAAAAACCCGATGCAGCGGTGCTGCTTATCACCACGAGTTGGGTTCACAATTGTCAGTACCCTGCCTATCACAAGGTAAGGGCAGAGAGGACTGGGGTTCTATGTCTGTCATGTTCTTGTTCAACTGATTATCAGAATGCTGATAATGAGAATTATTTCAAGATGCCTGCTATGAGTGGCAGTGAGTAAAGACTGCAGTGCTGGTGAGAAGTGCAACACCATGAAGCAGCCTTTCAGCAAGATCCTCCAAGCAGCTGCTACAGACATTAGAATTAGTAATAGGAAGCAACAACACACGAGTTAAGATGGGCACACGCTGAGGCAGCAAGCAGGCCTTTTTAAAGCAGTGTATTTGGTATGCAATTGAGGTTTGCTAGGTGTGCTGCAAACTCAGGAAGTGCAATTTGCACCTCCTTGTGCCAGAAACGGAATGAGTCAGATCCTTAAAGCTTCAATTTTAGCTTTCCTTCGGCCTCCTCATTGTTCTGACTAATGTGATGCTATCAGAGCCAGCTAACTATGGCAGAAAACGGCCGCACACACCGCATAGCCTCAAGGCTACAGCACAGCCAGGCTGGTGCAGAGCTTGTACACCCACAGATAGCCGTGGAGCAGCTGCAGGCCACTCCAGCTGTAAGAAATAACTTACTGTAAGCAGTAAGTTATTAACTGCACTAAAAACACAGGCACAGTGAAAATGTGTACACACTACTGCTATCAAAGCATCAGAAGTCATTAGCACCTTAATTTTTAGGCATTAAAATTGATACATCTTAATGAAGCCAGAAGTTCAGAAAAGCTACGCAGATATTAAAAAGCTAGTAAATCCCCAAAACAAGAGACCTGAAACAGCCAGCAACTTAACATGCAGACCTAGCTCTCTAAATGTAATAAACAAACAAAAATATCCAGAAAAAATATTCTGCATCATTAGGGCCCAAGGTGTTTACACTGCAGGACAAGTGTCACGCGTTAACTGGCTGTGGACTGTATGATAACCAATAACGAAACCTGTCTTTCCTGAAAGCCTCTGGGGACTTATTGGGTGTTTTCATCATTAGTGTATACAAGAATCCAGGCTTCTTTCCAATTTATCCCATTATTTACTATAAATAAAGCATTTCATGAAGTATTTTCTGTCTTGTTTTTGTTTCTAAGTGAAATTTAGTAAGTGGCAAATGAAACCAAGGGTGAAATTAGTTAAAATAATTTAATATTTGAAAGATTTATTAGCTGTTTGCTTTCATTGTGCTCTCCCACAGAAAGCATGACTTGGCAATCAGCTGATGAATTTCCTTACTGATCTTGTGTAAGGCAAAACCCTGGTCTGACAAATGATATGGTGAGAACAGCCATCTGAACTGCTGAGAGCTTCTGGCAGAATCAGGCCAAGGGGCTCAATTCTAACGCTACAAATGGTAAGGAAGCTATGCAGTCGGCTATGGAAAGAGTAAGATTACATTTGTTTCTGTCCTGTGAAGACCCCATCATTTACTATTCGTACTAGTTAACCCAAAACTTTTTTTTTTCTTTTTTTCTTTTTTCTTAAAAAGTGAGGATAAGATCAGCAGTGAGACCCAGAAGCTTTCCCAAGGAGCAAGGGAGCAAGATCGGGGCCATTTAATTTGACATAAAGGTCAGACATACACTGCCTATGCTGTATTCTATACTCTCAGAATAGTGCAGGTGACAGCAAGAAACCCACTGCTCTAACAGCTGCCAGGTGTATTTCAGCGAGGACTGAAACCACAGATAGTCTCCTAACACTGATGGGAAGCACCAGAGGTTCTGAGGCTTACTGCAGCTTGAAACCCCTTCAGAGGCCCAGGATTATCACGTTACCTGCCTACAAAGCACTGCCTGCTCTTTGGGTCAAAAAGTCACCAAAATAGGAACAGAGAACTAGCTCATTATTTCCAGTCTTCTCAGCAGTCTGCTCTGAGAGTGACTGCTGCCTTCTCTGTGACCTAAATGGTACTGTTTGTGCAACAGTGTGTTCATAACCATCTGCAAAGCACTACAATTGTGTCTACAGAAGGTAGTAAGTGTTCACAGTTGTTCTGCAGTGCAACAACCCTGTATGGAGTTCCAAGGATAGAGACATTTACTGCACTGGCCTTACTTAAATCGCATACGAAAACACCGGTAGTAAAATTAATACAGAATTTTTTTTTAAATCGTATTCAATAGTTTGCTACTTCTGAAGCAGCACCGTTTTCAGAGGGGTTTTGTTTAAAAGAAGCATTAAAAAACTGGGAATCGTTACTAAATAATTCAACGAACAACGAACACACCTAGGGTTCACGATTCGAGCACGGGCCGCAGCTCCGCCGAGTGCTCGCAGAGCCACCGCTGCGTGCCGCCGTCCCGGGGCGCTGCCTGCGCGCAGCCCGACCCGCCGCCTCCGCCGCCGCCATGTCGCGGCCGCGAGGGCGGGGCGCAGCAGCTCCCGTTGCGGCGAGGGGAGGCCGCCGTCAGAGCTCACCCTCGTTTCGCTGCTCTGAATGTCTGGTTTGGGGCGGTTTTGTGTTTGCTGGGAGCAAGATAAGCCCTCGCTCTCAGCTCGGCTACAAGGAGAGCAGAGCCGCTACGGGGAGAAGCACTTCCCTTGGCAGCCACGGCAGGAGGCGCAGTGGAGGGCGGGAGCCGTACTGGGCTTGTGGGCGTGATCGTGCGGTGGCTGTTCCTTCCAGACAGCCTCAGTAATGCTAAAACTGGGTCCTCCTCACATTTCTGTTACGTTCCTGTTAATAAGTAAATCGTAAATACAAACTGAGAGAGTTGTCAGGTCACAAATGACAGGAGTTACATGTCTGTGACCCTGTGCCACCAGCAGATCTCCAGGAGCAGGAATGCGCTGCCTAAGCCTGAAAGGAGGTCAGTGCAGCTGAAAAAATAAATTAACTCAATGTTAGCAACACGGTAATTTGGTGAAAAACCTTTACAGCTCATGAACAAAAAGTGGCTGGAAGAGTGTCAGTGCTCCTAGAGTGAAGATGAGAAAGGTTAACAATAATTTCCTTTCTTGGCAGCTAAGAAAGCTGTATTAAAATCAAATTTGTGCTCCATATTAAATACAGCCTCAAAACTGATCAGTGGTTTAAGTTAGGAAATATTTCTCTGAGAGAGTGGTCAGCTGCTGGAACAGGCTGCCCAGGGAGGTGGTGGAGTCACTGTCCATGGGCTGTTCAAGAAACATTTAGATGCTGTATGAGAGACATGGTTTAGTGGGAAATATTGGTGATAGATGGACAGGATGATCTCAGAGGTCTTTACCGACCTTGGTGATTCTATGATTCTATGGTAGCAGGAGTTGCCATGATCCAGGTACAAAATTTGGATTTACTGAACCTCATGGGTTCACCTGCGCCCACTGCTCGAGCCTGTCTAGGACTCTCTGGATGCCTTCCTGTCCTTCGAGTGTGTCAGCTGCACCACACAGCTTGGTGTCATCTGCAAACTTGTGGAGGGTGCACTCAATCCCACTGTTGATGTCATTGATGATGTTAAAGAGCCCTAGTCTCAGTACTGACCCCTGAGGGACATCACTTGTCACCTATCTCCACCTGGACATCAAGCCACTGATCACCACTCTCTGGGTACAATCTCACAACCAGTTCCTCAACCATTGAACAGTCCACCCATCAAATCCATATTTTTCCAATTTGGAGAGAACAATGTTGTGTGGGACAGTGTCCGAGGCCTTACAGAAGTTCAGATAGATGACATCAGTGACTCTTCCCCTGTCCATTGATGCCATCATAGAAAGCAACAAGGTTGGTTGGGCAAGATTTGCCCATGGTGAAGCTGTGCTGGTTATCCCACATCACCTCCTTCTTTTCCATATACCTTAGCATAGCTTCCAGGAGGATGTGCTCTATGATCTTCCCCAGCACTGAGGTGAGGCTAACGCGTCGGTAGTTCCCTGGGTCATCCTTTCTAATCTTCTTAAAAATGGGTGCCATATTGCCTTTTTTCCAGTCACCAAACTTCATGTGACAGCCACGACTTTTCAGAAATCCTTGAGAGTAGCTTGGCAACTATGTTAGCCAATTCCCTCTGGACTCTGGGATGCATCTCATCAAGACCCTTAGACATACAGATGTTCAGGTTCCTCAGGAGGTCGTGAACCTGATCTTTGCTTACAGAGAGAGGGACAGCACTCTCCCAGTTCCCATCTTCAGAACCATCTGCTTGAGGGCTGTGTATAGAGCAGTCTCTAGAGAAGACTGAGGCAAAAAAGTTGTTGAAGCCCTCAGCCTTCTCCTTGTTCATTGTTACTAGCCTGCCTGTGTTGCTCACTGGGGAGGGTAATTCTTGGACTTTCCTTTTCTGGTTGATGTTTCTAACAGAAACCTTTATTATTCTTTGCACGTGCAAGCTCTTGTCCATCACTGGCAAAAATGCATGGCACATGGTGGTGGCAATGTTGAAAAACAGTGTTCTGTAGTTAAGAATTTCCTCTATCAAATATTGTGCTCTTTGTATCTGATGTAGTTTCCATGGAAATAAATAAGAGGCATTATTTTCTGAACAACCTAGGTATCTTAACACATTGTTTTCACCCTCTTCAAAGCAGAGAAGGCAAAATTCCTGTGCTGCTCACAGCATTTACAACTTAAGTGACTCATTTCTCCACAGAGCTGTGTCTCCTGAGGGCCACACCTCATGGAAGAAAATAAAAGCTTTTCCTCCTTGGTGAGAGATCCACTTTCTATGGGTACTTGAGTGAGACAGTGGCAACCCAAAACTGTCATCCAGCTGCTGTTAAGTAGCTTTGTTACTCTTTCATGTGGCAAGAACAAGAAACACACAAACCAAAATTAATGTGAACTAAAAGTGCTGACAGTGACACACTTGGCGAAAAGCAGCAATGCAGGTGCAGAAAGCCCCTCTCCCTGCAAGATGCTTGTAGGCTGTGAATTTAACTACATACATGTTTCCTGTCAGGATCCTTTGGACTGGCATCTGCTGCACCCACCTGGGTGAAGTTTTGCATGGCAACAAGAAAGGGAAAAAAATATATTCATTGAGAAAGTAGGATATTAAAACCAGAAAAGAAAAAAAAACAAAAACAAAAACAACCATGCTACAAAACAGCTCAGAAGCAGAATAAGAAAAACTTTGCACTGAAAACTGTAATCTAGTCAAGAAACAGTGGTCTGATTATTTTGGAAACTAGAAGTGGAGGAATTTTAGACACACTTTGGGAAGTTTAGTCAGTAATATACAGTAGGTATTTTCTACTCCCCTAGTTATAGACTTAGTCCTGTGAATAATTACTTACATGAGCAGTTTGCACTTATATATAATTTGCTGGGAAGATGTTTATGGTGTTCTTAAAAATTTGTTTATTTGGAGACTGAAACAAATCAGTAGATTAGAACATCTGATTCTGAAAAAGACACATGTATAAATTTCATCCAAGTATTCTGCCAGTCTCCTTAAGATGAACATCAGAAATACTGCAAGCATTTGGATTAAAATGAAGTTAATCATTTGGGCATGTGCTTTTTGTACTTAGGATCAAACTGGCAAATACAAACATGCAAGCTGCTCCTACGTTCAAAAGCATGCTGTATATTACTTCTGGGATTAGGACTTCTTTTCAATATCAGCTGCTGGGCCTTTTTTGTTATTTAAAAACGTGTCTAGATATCTAATTCATGTCACTTAGGATCCCTTTAAAAACATGCATTTGCAGGAAAAAAAATTAATATCCCATTACAATAGTATTCATATAACACTTATGCCATGCAGTAAACAAATTATCATATATTCTTGTTGAGAAAAGGTTTCAGCTTCTGATTGCATTACCTGATGGTTTACAGATGCAAAAGAAAAACAACGATGTTATTATCTTCCACTAGAGGGCGAGAGAGCATCTTCTGTTGCTAGGCAGATTCTGAAAAAATAATAATAATAATTTCTACATCATTAAAGCAATAAGGTCAAATTTGAAAAAAAAAAGAGAATAATTTAATTCATCGTATTACCAAAACCGATGTAATTTCTAAAATATCAAGGCTTTGACATCTGAAATTTAATTGCTGTTAGGTTATTTCCTACAATCATTAGAACTGAAGAATGAACACAAATAATTTTATATGCATGGACAACCATGTTTCAATTATTTTTTTTCTTCTTTTCACTACACAATGCTGATTTCTTCAGACAAAAATATTAACAGATAAATTAAAAAAATCTAAAAAAATACTTAAATATAACGGAAATAGTAATATTGTATCAGCTACTAACATGACAATGATGCATGTAATTTCTTTTGGAAAGTGAACACAGCACACCTAGTAGCTGCGGGACTGCCATAGAAGTCTATCATCAGAGGCTGAAACTCATTGGAGAAAGGTACTGGGAGAAGGGTGTGAAGTGTTCTGGGAGGTGTTCATGTGGTAATTTAGCACAGCAAGTTTAATTGACTTCAAAGTTTGCAAATTTTTCTTTATGTGCTGAAAAATGGACAAACTAAAAACAGAGCAATAACTGGTTGGTTTGTTATGAGTTTCTGTTTACTGCTCAAGAACTAAAACCCAACAGAGAAACAACTCAGGCCTATTATAGATTTCATTTTTAATTTTATGAAATTCTAACACATAAAATACATCTATATTTCTGTTCTATACTCCTTAAACTCCTGAGACAGTTTAATAAAGATTGAAAAATGGTGGTGCAATGATCACATTCCTTTCCCCTGTCTCTGTTAAGTGAAAACTATTGACATCGAAAACACTAATGCTACACAGATAAACAGAAGAAAGAAGGAAAGAGAGAAAGAGAGAGAGAGAGAGAGAGAGAGAGAGAGAGAAAGAAAGAAAGAAAGAAAGAAAGAAAGAAAGAAAGAAAAAAAGAGAGAGAGAGAGAGAGAGAGAGAAAGAGAGAAAGAGAGAAAGAGAGAAAGAGAGAAAGGAAGAAAGGAAGAAAGGAAGAAAGGAAGAAAGAAAGAAAGGAAGAAAGGAAGAAAGAAAGAAAGGAAGAAAGGAAGAAAGAAAGGAGGAAGGAAAGGAAGGAAGGAAGGAAGGAAGGAAGGAAGGAAGGAAGGAAGGAAGGAAGGAAGGAAGGAAGGAAGAGGAGGAAAGAAAGAAAGGAGGAAAGAAAGAAAGGAGGAAAGAAAGAAAGGAGGAAAGAAAGAAAGGAAGAAAGAAAGAAAGAAAGGAAGGAAGAAAGAAAGAAAGAGAGTAGAGCAAACAAATGGCATCAGCCTCTGTCCTGGACACATAACATCGGCCTTTGTACACATAGCTCTGGCTGAACTCTCACAGCAATTTGTGCTGCAGGATCTCTCTTTTTTTTTTTCTTTTGCCCTCATACTCCAGCACTCCAAACCAGCATGTGCAGATTCAGGGACTATAATAGCATCAAAGTTTGGAAGCAGCAAGAACACCCCTGGCAGCTTCTGTCAACCCCAAAATATCTGGCTGAAATGCTGCTGAGGGTGACGTTAGGAGATTCATCCCACATCTGCAAACTGAGTAAGTTACATATTCTAACTTGGCTAAAGTATTGATAGCACTTGTTTCAGTGTAGGACAGTGTAAGCAGCTCTCCCTTGCTCTGTGATCATTACTTACTTCCTCTTCTCTCATGTGTCATAATATTCTTGCAGTTCTTGTGTTAAAAATAAAAACAAATCAAAAAACTTTTGGTAAGATATTGATAGATATTGATAGATAGTTTTATTTACATCAAGTTATTAAAAATCTGATGTTCGAATTTCATAAAAGCTGTGGTATTTCATGAACTGTTTATTTAAAAAAAAAAAAAAGGCAATGCTTTGGCGTGGTTCTGCAGGGAATAGGAAACAAAATAGAAATTGCACAACTAAAACCTGTCTCAGAACAACTCAAACACAAGCACAAATACTGTATTACATACTATTTTCAAACTGTTTACAGATCAGGACATTCTTTTGACCTATGAGTCTGTTAGGATAAGGATAAAGAAATTGCAACCATGGTGATTGCATGATGCAGAATGAACCTAGCAGTTTATTTAGAACACTATGCCTAATTTGCAGTGAGAGCAACCTTTTCGTTTTGGACAAGACACAAGCGAAACATTGACTTAGGTACTACATTTCTATACTGAAAATTTAGAAAGCTATTGCATAGAGATGAATACTGTGATTTGAATTGGCCTGAAGGA